ACCACGTTAAACGCGTCCAATTACCTCCACAGACTTTCCGTTAATGTTTCGAATTTCGAAAAACTCACGGCAGAAAAGCCAAAAACAAAAAAAAAGGCGAACAATAAAAGAAAAACAAGAAGAAAGGCTCGGTTTGAAGAGTCGAAGCCTTGATTACCCTTAACGTGTATGACTGATAAAAATGATAAAGCCACCTTTTTTTTTGGGTAGATCTTAAAATGGTTTCCATAATTTTATCAATGGCTTAGGATGGCAATTCTGAATTACGGTTAATAGTAGCTAAAACAAATAAATATTTTTATCGGATTAAATATACTCTATAGAAAGGGTATTATCACAAAAAAGAAATAAGCAAAGGAAAACTGAAAACCAAAAAAAACATAAGACAGTAGGCAGAAAATGTGAGTTCAGGAGAATGGGACAAAGCTGCAGCTGGAGAATGGAGAATGGGGGAGTCGCTGCACCCGTCTCTTTCTCCGTCAATAGCTCCTTCTCTTTCATAGTTTGTGTGGGAGCAGTGCGGCATGCAATTGCACTCGCCCAAGTCTTGTGACTGGAATCAAATTGGAGAGAAAACGAAGGAAATACCGTCAAACTGTGCACGGTAAAAAAAACAATTCATTTAAAATATTAACAATTTAATTAATAAAAATATTAATTTTGAGTTATTAATATTTTAGAAAAATTTGTTGGTATTTGAATTCGTCACCTTGTGTACATAACATTAATTTTTATATATTTTGTTTCTGAAAAGTTTTTGCAATGAAAGAGAAAATCGGGATTTTATTCACTGATGAAATCGATCTGAAGTTTTCTCTGTGTACAAACTGTTGCCCGAGTCGCGACCAGAATCGCTGATGTTGTAATTGTTGCAACTGGCAACTGTCGCATGTGTTGCATGTTGCCGGTTGCCTGTTGCTGTTGGCCAGTTGTTGCCGTTACTTCAGCGGTTTTTATTACCCGATTTCTTATGCGGATCTCGTGTATTGCTGCCAGTACCAGTACCCCTCCTTCCTAACCTCTAGCTTTCGTATTTTTATTTTCGAGGGTATGCAGAAATCGGTTTTATTTGGTTTTATCTCTCTTTTTGCTCCAACCAGTTGGCACATGAGTCACGGGACTTGATCGATTGATCGACTAAGCCACGCTTGTCAATGTCTATGGCAATGTTAATGGACTTGTCAACGACAGGAAAAGTGTCCAAAGCGTCGAGTAAAGAGGGGAAAAGAAATGCTGAAACTGGTTTATTTATTACTTAATACAATTTAGTAGCAGTTAAATGTCAACAGGAATTCAGATTAATTTTTTTCTGGCTGTAAACTTCCTTGAGCATCAATTGTGCACGAAAACAAAGACAATGCCTAAAAAAGACAATAGATATGAGTATCAAGCCGTTATGGATGAAAATTGTTGTTCCTAGATTTTTTTTACACAAATAATATATGATGAATTATTATAATAAAACCTTTGTGTATTGTTTTTCCATATTACCCGTTTTCTTGGACAATAAAGAATATGATTATGTAATAATTTGTAACTAAATTTAATGCTATATTAAATGTGTTTCTATACGAAATTTACATGGACATCTTCAAAATCTATAAACATATCAATTCGGACTATGTAAAATGTTTACAGCTTATTCTGTTCAAAGTTCAACTTAAGTAACATTTACTATATGTTTTTTTTTTTTTTAAGTTTCAACTTTCGAAATTACGAAACTTGGTACTAAAAACTCGATAAAGCAGTTAATGGTTCGTGTATCAACTAAGTGTTAGTTTAAACGATGAACACACCTTAAAAAGAGGGCGACACAGTGCATTGCCGCTTTATTTTTGAACTAAAAGCACAGTTTTATCAAAAGCCCTGGTTTTTTAGTGTTGTTAAACGTAAAAATTTGAATTGTAAAAATTGGCGCTTTCAGATCAGTGTTGACTAATTAAAAAAGTCTTATTTAAATTTATTTTATTTGTTCAAACGTTTCCAGATTTTCAAGTTTATCGCAACAAAATAAAAAAACTTGTCCCATGATTGCGTTTTAATCTTATTTTCATCGATCATAATCAAGATACGATCGCAATTTGTTTATTGGAATGATTTTAATAGCAGGACCTTATCGTATGGCCCGAATTTTTTTATTAATATTGATCATCTCTCATAAATTTCGTCCCACTTTGCTTTTAATCGATTTTATCTTTCTATCGCTATAATTAATTTCGCTTCAATTATTATTAATATTTTGCACTTTGGCTTTGGCGATTGCGAAAAGGATTTTCGTGAGCAAAGCTATTATGCCACACAGAAACTCAAGATTCCAGTTGCATTTCTATTTCCAGTTTGATTTGCAATTTGGGTTCGATTTGCATTCGATGGATTTCCTTCTTTGATTGTGGATTTTTTCTTTACATCCCCTTGCCCATTTTTTTACACACTGAAAAAATTTTACTGTGGTCGGTATTCAGTTCTTTACGATTTTATTCTTTTATAATTATTTGTTTTTCTTTTAGATCCAATATTCTTCCTTAAAGTATATAAGGTAAAATTGTATTTACTGAAAGCAATTAAAATGTGTAAAATCGTTTATCTGATTGATTTATGACAAATTTCTTGGTACATGTTTTGTTGATTCTAAATGAATTTTTCTCTCCGTGTGTTATAACAAATTTGAGTCTTTGTGCCATAAATCTCCAGACTTAGCACTCGCTTCGTATCCGTAGGGCAGACAAGATACAAATGGGTGTCACGAGATACATGGATTCATGTCAACCCATTGGTCATGGCCCCTGTGAAGACAATTGTGACGGGGCGTAAAAACTTGTCTGGAAAATCATAGCCAAAAAAAAAAAAAAAAAAACAACAACCAATAATCAGAGCCAGAAGAGAAAACTATCATTTTAATGACAGCCCGAAAATGGGGAAAAAATAAATAATAGGAGTGGGGAGATATGGGGAAATGCATTTGCTGCGCCTGGAGCAGGAAGTCGATGCTGCAGATCGACTCCGTCTCGAAATCCAGACTTGAGACTCCAAACATCGACATCGGCGACAACTGCGAAGAGTGCGTAATTGCTTTTTAAGCCTGATTTTTGAGGCACGCCCTGGTGGCCTGCTTCCCCTTTTTCCCCCCCTCTTTCAAAAACAGAAAAAAATGCCTTACTATTAGCGCTAAAAGCCGAGCACCAAAACCATGAGATTACGGCGCATTGGCGGAAGAGACGTTGCCATGTCGTCGGCCAACTAAGTATCCCAAAAGATACACATTTCGACAGACAAACGACCGCCCACATATGAAAATAATCCATAGAGTAGGAAAAAGGGAGTTTTTTCATAGAAAAAAATCCATGACACAATAATAACGACCATTCAGGAAAGTAACAAGGAAGAAAGCGACTGATGACATTTTTCAATGCATAAATAATGAATTATCAACTCAAAAACAATATTTAAACCTTATAGTTGTTATCATGATCATTTATGATAAATATGATAAATCAGTTCACAAATTTCATGGATTTTCTAAAGGAACTAAAAGTGAAATACCAATTAAAACCTACCCAAACTAGTCCAAGTACGATGGCGATAGGATCTCGAATCTGGAGTGTGTAATCAGCGTTTATAGCTGAACGCGAATAAAAATAAAACACCGATTTCGCGGCCTCAGCGCGCAAAGATGATCGGCGATAAAACCAATTCGATAAGGCGCTCACTCGATGGCACATCTGGCCGACGATTAATTAACCAACTCCTCCATCTCGTTATGGCCATCGATTTGAGCGATGTTCGGACATTAGCTTATGCAAAAGATTCGCAGGCCTGTTAACTTGTCCCTTTTGGCGTGTGTTGTGTCTTCCATTGCGTGTTTGTTTTAACGCAAATGTCAAGACTAATAACGCTTAGGGCCCATTATGGGTTTAGGGCAGAAGATTGATCAGCGATGGGAGAAAGGTTTGGGTGGGGGGGCGGTGAGCCGCATTAATTTCCAAGCCCTCGCAAATGACGAAATACATGGGATTTGGTAATTAACATTTCCCCAGGCAATGATTTTTTAATCCCATATTTTTTTTTTTTTTTTTTTTGGATAGTCAACAGTTGTGTAAACAGTCCCCATTTTATGTATTTATGTTATTATGTTTTTAAACATAGATTACTTTCTGGCATGCATTATCGGCTTTGCTAAAAATGAGACTCAGTCCCAAAGTTCCAAAAACAGTTACGTATTTAGAACCGACTCCGAAATAATGTAATTTAGAATTGGAAACTTCGTGTCCAATTCTTATTCATAAACTGACCTCACCCCTATCCACTTTATATCCAATCCCACCGAAAACTTACTTAAAATAACCTAAAAACATATTAACATATTTATTTGGTTTCTCCAATAGACAAATTTTAGATTTCAATTTTTTTTTCAAATTTAAAACTAAATTGTTCCATACTTAGAAATAAAAAGTGTGTTTCACACTTTGATTTCACCACAACACCCCTTGGGGCTAAATCAGTACAGAAAACATTTAATCCAAAGTGAAAATACTTGGATTTACCATGATTTTTTCTCTGAATGTAGCTTTTAGTTTTAACTATAGGATAGCGTTAAATAATATTGATAATAATAATTTTTTTTTCTACCCACATATGGGTGATATCCTTGTCCAAAAGCGTATTCCTACTGTCCCTATCTACCTTGAGAGCGATCAATTTCTACCGCCTCACGTGCTGACCCCTTTGATGCGGCGCAGTGGCAGCGCAGCTGTTGGGAAGCGGTAGCCGCGAGCGGCAGCTAAAACAGTTGTACAACATTTACCGGTTTGTGGGGCACGCAGCCTAACAAGAAGCTCAACAGCTGATCGAAAGCGATCTCCTCGGGTGTTTGTGTTTGTGTTTGAGTTTCGAGTTTGAGTTTCGAGTTCCATTCATATTCATGAAAAGCAAGCAGCTCTCTTGTTGCTCTATCGCTCTCTCGCTAAAAAGTTGCGATGGCTTAAAAGTTTACAACGGCGCAGGCGCGCCGCTCAGACCGTTGATGGCGTTCGCAGCGACCGCTTGGCACACGTCGCGTTTTTAGCCGCCAGCGCGATTTAAACCGCCAACCAAACCGCTCAAGTGCGTTTTTTTTCGACCCCCGCCTTAACCCCTGTAAGCCACCCCGAATCTGTGTGTGTTTGTTTTTTATTTAGGAAGTGAGGTGGGCTACTGTAAAAACAAAATAAAATAAATTAAAGTTAAAGAAAATGAAAGCCATCAAATAAACTCACAAAGTCCTGTGTGATGCGCTTCATCGCTTTCATTTTCATTTTCCTTCCCAATTAACTGTTTTTTTTTTAAATGTTTTTTGTTGTTTAAGTGCTTATTTCCGCATTAAGAAACAAAAAGTGCTTGAAATAGAAATAATAACTACTCGAAACTTTAACGAAATGCAAATTAATTACAAATAATCGAATGAAATAATTTTGTTATTTGGATTTTGTGTGTGTGTGTGCGTTTATTGTGGTTCCGCGCTAATAGTTTCCTGCATAACAACAACAACAACAAAAGCAGCAAACAGCGACTACAATAATAATAATGAAAACAACAAATTTTAGCCAAACTGGCCAAATAAAATTGTTGCGAAAGTATTTTTGTTTTTGGTTGTTTATTTTTTTTTTTTTGTTTGCGTTGCATGTGGCAGCAAAAGCAAAAGCAGCTGCTGCAAGTCAAGTTAACTTGTTGCCGTTGCTGAGCTACCTAACAAAATAAATTTTATTTTTATGACTTTTATGCGAAGCCGATAAGATGACAGGCATAACAACAATAACACTAGGCACCAGCAGCGGCGGCAACAAAAACAATATTGGCCAAAACTGCAACACAATAGCCGTTGAATACAATATTTTCAGAGGCAAATCGAAGCTGGGTTGCTCTTCATATTAGGATTTATTCCAATCAGAAATTTTTGTAATGAGACTTATTAATAAATGGATTATTAATGTTATCATGACTACCGTTTTGGCATAATGAGAACTCCTGTATTATTTAAAAGCAGGATAAGTTTTATAAAAAGTAAACAATCCCATTATGTTAAAAGTAATAACCTTATTACAGTTGATTTTAGAAATGTTTCATTAAAAAACGTAGTCGAAATTGAGTTACTAAGTTAAATAAAATTAGTTTTTAATTTAAAATTTAATTTTGAATTTAGTTTAACAAAACATATTAAAGGAATAAGCAAATATTTTGATTCCATAAAATTCCATAAAAAGTAAACTCAAAATATTCCTTAAGAAATTAGAATAATAACAAAAGTTCGGTTTATAATTTGAAAATATTAACCAATCCATATACCTCACTAAATTTGTATTAGAGTATTTTCTATAACCAAGTTGGAGTGCGTGACCCCAGCTCAAAAAGTCTGTCTCAGTGTGAGTGTTTTGTATCTGTGTATATATATGTGTATCTCTGTGTCTTTTTTTTGTTGACCAGACTTGCTCTTGGACCAAAGAAAAAAAAGCCAACTTTTGAGCCTGATCCCAGTTAAATCCACTTGAATGCCCGAAAGTGAAATTTCACTTTTTTGTTACCGTTGCTGCGGTTGCTGCTTTGCAGCTGCCTTTTAAATTTAATTCGAACCCTTGTTTATGGCGGCGGTATTAGTGCCCAAAAAGAGTGATTATTAATAATTTATTAGAATTTTACAAAAGCGCACAGAAGAGACCAAAAAACATACAAAAATGGCAACGAACAAAATTGGCAGCAAATCCTGCAGGAGCAGCAGATCGAAATCATCATCATCGTCGTCATCGTCAGCAAAATCAGCGGATATAACAAACCAAATCAGCAGAGGATTAACACTAAATCACTCATTTATTTACTGCTGCCTGGTAATAATCTCCATGGCGTCTGTAACCATGGCTAAACCACCGGATCAGGAAGCAGTCCATCACAAAAATGGTAAGTTCAAAACGTTGTATCTGTGACTTAATTAGCTAGCTGTGAAAGTGAAACTGAAACTGAATCTTTTCGCTGCCGCGAGAATTATGGGGCTTAAAGTCATCAACCGGCGGCCAATGGCCAATGGCCAAAGACTCTCGACTTGGGATCAAGTTGAGCAGCTGCTGATGGCTTTGATTTGTGGCAGCAGCGCTTTCACTTTGCCAGCATTTGTTTCGCTTTTCGTAGAAATGTATCCACAACACAGGGGATAATAAAAATTTAACCTAACTGAGAATATTAACTGATTAAATAATTTTTATCTACATAATCTAAACGGAAACCACAACAAATATAGGGCTTTTTTATAGTCGGGTTAATGCTAGTGTGATGAAAGCTAATTAAAAAGGCTTCGTTTCACTCTATAGTAAGGTGAAAAACATGTAAAACCATCTCATGTTTCAATTTCCGAAGGTTAATTCCATCAGCAGATTTGAAGATCACACATGTGCCATTTTGCTAAGAGCGATTACAAAATTTATCATTGGTTTCGATTTCGGTTCAATTAAAAGGTGAAAAATCTCAGCTTGAGTTGCTAATTTGTCGGTAGCAGTTGAGTAAGCCATTTAACAAAAGGGCGAAAAGAAAGCCAAACAAATTAATCAGCAGAAACGAAGAAGTAAAAAACAAATAAAAACTGGGTGAAATGAAGGGGCCGTGGGGATATGATGCCACCTAAAAAAAGCAAAAACAAAAACAAAGCCAAAGACATTTTCCCAGACATCTCGCGCTCTTACGACATCTTTAGCAATTACTGGAAGAGTTGTATCTCTGTGGATGGTAGATTGAAAATCGGGGAAAGGACGGGGAGGGGACAGGGGAAAAAGGGGACAAGAGACCCACAGACCGCATTTTCCACTTGCTTCCGTATGCTGGGTTAATTTTCCTTTGTTGTATGGCAAGACAACTCCATCTGGCCGTCGTTTCATCTGCCTTTTCCCAAACACTTTTCCCCCCCAAGTCGTCGCTATGGTCTGTGTGTCATTATGTCATTGCAGCCTGTACCATTTACAATTTACCAATTTCCATGCACCTTTTCCCTCCACTCGAAACTAAAAACATTTCCCCTATGACATTTTTCTGTCCAAGAAGACAATACACAGCAATAATAAAAGAAGGGCCACAAAAACCTGTAACTCGAAAGCAATTTCCAAATATTATGATACTGTTTTGAACTGTTTAATGATATCTTACTTAAAATAAAATAATTATATTTCCAAGAAATTTAAAATCAAAATTATAAACCAAGAAAGAGTGGAATTAGTTGTTTAGGTGTTTAAAAAAAAAAAATAATTCTTATAAGGTTTCCAATTTAATTATTATTCGTCAAATTTATTTTAAATTTTAGCATAAAATTTAATTTCAACGAGTACTGTATATTACGTACTGCTTCATAATTAACATAAACACTAATAGCATACTCAATCACATTTTTTTTTAAATTACTTTTTTAGTATTTATGCAAATGCAAGATATTTCAGAACACTAAAGGTCGGTGATAAATGTTTATTTTATTTGGCTGCTTGTGTTGTGCTTGTAGCTCAAAAATTAATCATGGAAATTCAAGTACAGCTTCGATATTATATTGTACCATAGATTTTGAAAGGCGTGGAATAATCTTTTGTGGCTGCAGATGCGTCTCAATATTTAGCAACTCATTGGGCCAAAGTCAAAAACCACAGATTGCATCACGACCCGACCGCAGCTACCTTGTGACAATTTCCCAGGCCATGGATGTATGGCTTGTCAAAGAGATGTATAAGCGGCCAGATCTGAACAATCGGCGCACTGATGATGACGCCCCCAATTTGGGCCACAGCTCTCGACTCTCAACTCTCAACCATGTAATGATCACATCGGATCCGAGAAAACGAAGCGGTAAAATGCAACCGGAGCGAACAACAATTGCCATTCATTTGCACAATGAATGAAATTTAATGAGCGCGGCTCGCATAATACAAATAATAAGTACGCGAAATAATAAGTGAAAAGACCCCTCGAAATAACCAAAGAAAAAATGAAATAAAATAAAAATATACATGCACAGTGAGAAGATAATTTCTGCAATCCGAAGCTTAAATACTCTAGATTTAATCGTCCGAATTTTATAGGTTTCTAAATGTCCTTAAAAAAATAGTAACTAGCTCTCCGTCCATTCTTATCTCACTAATTTAAATGTGGATCAATCAATTTACTTAAAAATATCCATTTCCCTTTGGCTTCAAAATTTAAAATAATATTTACCTTAAAGCCAAATATAAAGTCACAAATAAATTAAAAGCAAACGGAGCTGTAGATTTTCAAATTTTCTTTACTGCGATACAATCTCTTGACTTATATTATTATACCTTTGCAGACAAGGGTATGAAAATTAATAATAAAAATACTTCCAAGCGGACAAACAAATCTTAGCCATAACGTAATAACTAGAGGTAGAAAAGATCGTACAACCAAAAAGCTAACACGAAAGCCAAAAAACTCCATGTGGCATGCAACTAACTATATATTAAATAACTAGTATGCGTACACAGAAAAAAAGATAAAAAGTGATGATCGATGAAATATTTATTCTTTAATTATACATCCACTTCTAAGATTTATGATATTGTTATTATATTATTTAACTGCTAACTTACAAAAACACCAATTAACTATTCAAACATGATTATGGAATATTTTTATGATAACTTCGTATCATATAATAATAATATTTAATAAGAAAGAATATGCAGGGTTCACGAAAAACATAGTAAATTCAAATCTCAACAGTTGGAAACTAGTTTTTTGTGTGTGCTTTTTCATGATGTGTGTACTGAATTCGATTTATTGTTCGTACAATTTACGAGCATCGATCGCCGAAGGAGACGCAAATCTGGAGATCTAAAAATGTCAAACTGCCCGATTTTTGATCTCAATCTGCCGCTTTTTCCTTCTCTTCTTCTGGAGCTACTGAATTTTTTCTACCACTTGGGTTTTTTGGCTTCTTGTATTTTTTATTTCATTGAGCCGTGGGCGTTACTGTGGGCGTTTGTGGCTGCTGTTGCGGTTGACAGAAGATCGGAGGGACAAACGGGGGGTCTTATATGGCTCAATATGATCAGTTGAAATTGGAAAATTGATTGGGGCGCGATGGTATTTTGGTTTTGGTTTTGTTTTTTTTTTTTATAGGAGAGAGGTGCAGAGAAAATGGAGCAAGATGATTGCTGTGGGAAATTTTGTTGGTAAAGAAATATGGGAATAAAAGTTAATTCGATATATCTATCCATTTAAAGGAATATAAACTAAATTTCTTTTATAAAAAAATAGAAATAATAATATAAATAATAATATAAATAATAATATAAATAATAATATAAATAATAATATAAATAATAATAATATAAAATACAAAAATAGTGTCCTAGCCGGACTCGATAACTACAAAACGTTTTAAGAATGACTCACCATTTTTTTTTTATATAAACAATATAAAAACAACAACTTATTATTTTGATAGTTTACTACCATTAAAAATCAGATTTTTGATTTCGATAATTCTCAATTATTGATTAAAAACTAAAAATTAAACTTTTTCGGACCTCAAGGTTAAAAATTTTTGTTTATGAAACTTTATTTTTTTTCCGATAAAACATATCTCTTAATCGTATGACCTTTTGGGTGTTGGATATACAATTGTTTTGCTTTAAGATCATTCTATCTAAGCAAATATTGGAGGGGATTCCCAACATAGCTTGCGGTTTTGTGACCTTTTTTCGCTTTAGTTTTGGGGGTTCAATTTTGGGATTTTCTTTTCTGCCCATTTACCATGAAGGCGTTTCTTTGCTTTTTGCCAGCAATTAACATTTTGAACTTTGCCCAATAGATCCGCTTGCAAAGTAAGTACATAAAAATTGGAACAAAGACCCAATTCGTTTAGCTTTAGTTTCGATGTTGTTTGTTGTCTTTGTTATGGCCGCGCATTGTGTTTAAAGGCTGTTAAATTTAAATGGTGAGTCTTAACCTTTAAATTCGGCGAACTGTTTGAATGGGAACCGCTCGACTGAGTGTAATTACACACATTTTCGGAGTACTGTGTTTGCGTTTCGTTATTGGGCAATGCCAGAAATCGCAATCGAAATTTAAATCGAAATCGAAACCGTAGGCCAAATATAAATAAAAGACCGAAAGAAATGCCGCACAACATCAATCAATTAGGAAAACAAATGACATCGGCAAACAGTAGCGACAACTTGAAAAATGCGAATCGAGCAATTTTAACCGATCGTAGATCATCGAGTTATGCAAATCGGGCAATCGATAACACACTCGATGATTCAATTTAGCCGGCTTACATAATTCCACCAGATTTAATGAGAGGTGGGTGCATAATTAGCCCGCCTCATTAATATTTTTGCTCTACATTGGGCGAAAGTGGCGGCGCAAATTAATCAAAATCAACACAGCCAACCGCAAAAACTGCGGCACATTTGAAATCGCGTTTGCCTTTTGTTTAACATTGTTTTTTTTTTTTTTTTGAATCAATTTTATTTGCAACATTAAATAAATTAATGAAAATGTGCGACATGCTGGGCATAAGGTCTTTTACATAAGCATACAATTTGCATTGGCGTGTTTTATAAGTTATTATTTAGCAGCCTTTGTTTATAGCTTACAAACAAATTCTGATTTAATTCAAATTTGTAATTTACAAGATTGAAGTTTTCATTCATAGAAAAAGGTTGCTACCGTTAAAATCATTATATTCTTCAGTGTTCGTTAAGTTAAGTTCTTTAAATTTTATAAACGATCCATAACTTTCTAATAAGTTTAAGTTATGCCGAGATATTTTGAAAACAAAACAACAAAATTTGTTTCTTGTTCAAAATTCTTGAAGCACCTTAAAAACAATTTGTAGCTCCAAGAGTATCTCCATTTCGGATTACAAACTTTCCATTTAAAACACTTCCTCCGGGCTGATTAAT